AGGTTCTGAGAAATATTTATAGATTGAATGGAAGACTTATAATTATATTAAATTAGACAATAATGGACTTTGAGGTTGATTATTGTCCAAAAAAAAGTAAGAAATACTTTGTACTAATACTAAAATAAACATTATTTTTTTTGTTACAAACCGATATATAGGGTGTCTTGGTTTTTAATCGCCAAACTGTAGATGGTAATTTTAAACAAAATTTCCAACAAAAAAGTTCATTTGATACATGGGTCGATTCCGAACGGAAAAGGAGATAATAAAAGAAAGATCATAATAAAATAAGACCGTTTATTTTTTCACCATATTTATTTTAATTTTCATAACTACGTTTCAGCCGGTAAGCCATCTTCAAGCCATTTTATCCAACCATGCTTTTTGCATGTAGTCCAAAGTCTAATTGGTAGGCCAAAGTCTAAAGAATTAGACTTCGAACTACATGCAAAAAGCATGGTTGGATAAAATGGGTTGAAGATTGCTTTCCGGCCGAAACGTAGCTATGAAAATTAAAATAAATATTGTTAAAAAATAAACGGAGCCTTATTTTATAATATTAGAAAATTGTCACCTAAAACAAGCACATATGGAGTTAAGAACAATTAAGTGTTAATCTTTAGGGGGTCATGTTTTTTATTGAATAAGAAGAAATTGCTTGAAAACTGTTCAAGATATTAAATTGAAAGTACACCATCGTAAAGTTAACTAATTTTTTTTTTTAAGAAAACAAAGATTAAATTTACTAAGGCCAATGATAAAAGAGACTTTCAGGTCTAATAACCTATCATTATGCCGAATTATTTCACGAATCGGAATTACAGATTTGCTGCTCGGTTATGGGTATTGTAAAGAAGTATGAATGTGTTTTTATTCATTTTTTTGTATTTAATGTTGTCTCATGTTTGATTTATTCTGTTATTTCAAGTTTTCTTTTCTTTTCTTTTGTTATAATCTTGTTTTATTGCATATATGGTATGTTTGTGTTTCATACACCCTAAATATTCAATGCCCTTAATTGGGGCAAAATGTATTTTTTTTTTCTCAATAAAATATTATTAGTAAAGGTTATGGGTACAGCGGTCGTATCAGACCACCTGAAAATCTCTTTTATCATCGACCTTAGTAAATTTAATAACTCTTTTCTCAAAACAATTTTGTCTACTTTACGGTGGTGTACTCAGAATTTAATTGTCTTGAACATTTTTTAAGCGATTCCTTCTTATTCAATAAAAAACAGTCCACCATAAGAAAACACAAAATTAGTCTTAACTCATTTTCCGTTCAGAATCGGATGCATCAAATGAACTTTTTTGTAGGAAATTTTGTCTAGAATCACCTCCCAGAGTTTGGCCATTGCGAACTGAAAAACCCTGTTGATGAAATTTATTGTAAGTATACACCAATATGTCAGGAATATAAACAAATAAAATATACAAATCAACCGAGTGCTTATTAGGAGAAAGGTTCAGTTGTAGGATTTTCGAAAAAAAAATATGTAAGTCTCGGGTAAATGAAATATCTCCTAAAAGGAAAAGAATGATAATGAAATTATCTTGTATTGTTTTTGTCCTAGAAGATGTCGTCGATATCTTAATTATGGATAAGTGCTACAAAACGTGTTTTTTTTTAATTAAGAAAATTCAACAAAGAACATTCCGATTTAATTTTATGAACTATTACTTTTTGTAATAAAAGGACGATATGTTCTACTATTGGAATCAGTAAAATTTGAATGTATTTTATTAATTGATTATTTATTTATTTTATATTGAATTCAGTTTTATTTCTTTTTATTTATTTATTTTATAAATAATTATAAAAATAAATATTTATTATACTAGTTTTACTCGGCCACGCGCTGCTATGGCTTAGCCTGGCAAAATGAAAAAGAAAGAAAATATAAAGCACATATGAGTGGATTATTAGCAAAGGACATCTGATATTTTTAAAAAGTTGGGAAACAAATTTGTCTGTAAAATGGCTTCAATTTAAACTAATTCTAATGATTTTTTTCTCATGATTCAAATTGAACATTCATAATCATCTAAAGTGAAACAGAGAGTGAATACGCCGTCATTCATAATCATCAGAAACAGTCTGAGTTGAACTTATAAAACTAAAATAAAAAATGATTATAAAGAACTTATAATAGTATTGACCTACATAAGGAGAATCATATAACTTCTTCAAATGTCAATTTCAATTACTGTAGTAATTATAAAATTTTTGGTTAATCAATAAAAAAATGCTTGCCTACCTTCGGTAGTGAGGAAGCAAAAGGAAATGGCCTTTTCTGAAGAGAAAGCACTAAATGTTTAAAACTCTGTAATTCTGCAACGAACCGTCCGATTTCAATGATTTTTTTTTATTTTGTCAGCAATTCAGAAATCTTTCAAATAAATGTGGGTTTTATCAGTAAAAAATTCTGTACTTTTTTAGTTATCGTCAAATAAAATATTGAATTCATCGTAACATTTTTCAGCTTGTTTTCGGAAAAGTAAGTTATACACATAAATTAAAAGGGTTTCAAGGGGAAGACTTTAGCCAAGTTTCGTTAAAATCGGTAAAGCCGTTTTGGCGCTACAGTTTATAGCGACACATTTTTTTGCGGCTTTGAACAGAAAAACATTTACATTTTTATTTTTTTTTACATATATAAAATTATCTTAAGACAGAAGTACTATGCCAGAAACCTTCTTTGGAGTGTAAGGAACAACTTCCCAAAGTTGCATGGCGTCGGATGAATGGTTTAGTAATGCACAAAGGACAAACAGACAGACATACATATAGAAGATAGAAACAATATTAAGATAGGTTTAGTTTAATATTGAAGTTAAATTAGATGATTTAAACCCCAGATGTTTTATTGCTTTAGTTTATGAAAGTTTATATTATGATACTTTCAAGTAATGATACTTTGAGCTGGAGATGTAGGGAAAATATTGAAATAGTGATATTTCGACCATTATTTTTATTATAGACTTATGAATATTAAAATTTTACTGTAACAATCAATATTTTTACAAAAAGAAAAGAAGTGAAATCCTAATGTCACACTGAAGATGCAAGACGCAGGATGCATGCATCTTAAACACTGGACTGTATTTAACTGAACGAGAGCTTTCACACCGAAGATGCAAGTGCGTCTTGCAGCCTGGATGCAAGATGATGCACTTGCCTCTCTGGAACCAGCCGGCTGAGATTTCAGTGTGCATCTTTGTTGTGCTGGTCTTGCAACTCCCCCTTCCACCTCGGTCCGCCCGAAGGAGAATATTTTTGAGGAGCGATCATCGGGTCCGGTCGGCTTTCATCGCCAACGCTCGGTCTACCCTTTCCATTCTCTAAACTCTTGTGTTTGATGTCTCAATTGCTTTTTTATTTTTAACTGTTGTTTTATCCATTTTTAAATTTATTTTTAACTATAGGTTTATTTATTTTTTTCATTTGCTCTGATTTTCAACTGTTGCTCTATATGGTTTTACCTGTCCTATATATTATTACTAAAAGGTGTTTTATTGTCATTTTGGAGATATTCTTCGCCTTTACATGCGAAAAATAGTCTTACCCTCCCGAAATCTCAGGGAAAAGTTATGAAGAACAACCATGCATCCAGGAAGCATACATCTTGCATCTTCAGTGTGAAAGGGGTCTAAAGGTGACATTTTGTAGTCTGCAACTGCTATAAGCAGTCTGATAAATAGGAAAATAGCTGAGAGTAATAAAATATGAAATTTTTGTTGGAGACAGCTCCAGTAATGAAGGACGTGTCAAACGCACCAGATAAGTAGGGAAGAATTGAGAATAAGGCTTAAGTCTCTCAATTTTGAATAATTATTTGTGAAATTACTGACAAAACAAATTAGAATCATGAATATTACATATCGCTATTGTTATTGCAAAGCGTTGTATGTAAAAAAATTTATTTTTTTACAGAACAACATAAAAACCGAATATTTCTTTATGATTTATTAGTGACTTATCACTAATCAGTATACACCTAGAATCTATCCACTAATGATGGACACCTCGAACTTGCAATGTTTCTAGTAATAGACAGGGGGCGGTACTAGTAATGGACATACCTCAAAAAATTCTAAATTTTTATTTAACTTTAAAGATAAGATAAAATAATGTTCAACTTACTCTTAGCAAAAATGTTAGTAGGTAGGTATGAAAAACACTGATCTCAAGAGCACTAAGGAACACTATAAAAACAATAATGATAGGCATTTTAAATTTTTTTGGGGGGAAAACTCTGTTCATACAGTTGTTAATAGAGGGCATTGTTCTTCAATCTAGAAAAAGCTGGAACCTTTAAATCAACAAGGAAGCATATTACTATTAAAGTCCAACCTGTCTATCACTGGGCCCCTGTCCATAACTGGTACGTTAATTCTACATTAAATTTACAGAGTAATAATGTGAGATTTGTTTTTTTATGTTTCAAGTAAAGTAGTGATTAAGAGGAAACAGCTGGAAGGTTTAAGGCTACCTTGATTGCCTGATTAAAATGATGAAATAAAAACAAAAAATAAATAAAAACATTCCGCTTATATGTATTTTATTCTCATTTTTTTTTTAAGTATGTACAATGGTTATTAAACATTATGCTCTATTTACATAACAAATATATACAATAATTTTAATAACAATTCAACAATCATTTTTTTAAATTACAAATAAAGAAAAAAAACTATCATCTAGATATTTATAAAAAGTTTTAATCGTTAATCGCTGTATAGAAATTTTAAAAAATATTTAATTTTAGAAATTAGATGAAGAAGGGTTTTTCATAACTTCTAAGGCAATTTAAACCATAATCAATATTTTTTTTTTTAATTCCTTGTTATATACAAAGTCATATGATTTGAAAGCTTCAAAATATCGTAAGTAAAGAGAGAAAGAAAAATTATATTTATTTTAATATTTTACAAACAACTTAAAAAAAAATTAAATTAAAAGTAGTTAAAAGTTTAAGATAAAATAAATCTACGTACGAATAAAAATTTGTATACTTATACCTATTTATCCAGATATGGATTTCATTTTTAATGTTAAAAATATGTTTCATATTTACAACAAAGATACACAATTGAACTATTTACCTCATATCTCATACTAACATCTAAAAAATTATATCAACAATTGCAACAAAATTATACTTTATATTAATTATCCTATTTACAGACAAAGTCGAATCTGCCGATATATACTTACTGGCGTAACTTTAGGGTGGTATTTGAGTAGCAGATGACTAGATAAAGTTACTTAAGCTCTGAAAATGAGAGCTGCCCATTAAACATAAATTAAAAATATTTTACACCTTGAAACTATATTAAACTACATATATTGCATTATATATTACAGGGTGATGATCCATCGATACAAATCATTATAATTAAGTATATATGTAATAAGTAGGTACCTAAAAACGTGGAAAATAAATAAAAATAAATGGTTTTCAAATAACTGTGATAAACTTTTTTTAATAACATATTTCACTTGTTTAATAAACTTCATTTTCAATTTAACAAAAGTATATGCATATTCATTCAAGGTATTAATAATGAAAGACTGTTTATCCATAATCCACTTGTAAATTTACTACATTTTTTTTCATCATTATTATACAAATCTAGCAAACATCAGATTAAATAAAAAGATAAAAAAAAAATAATAAAAAATAAAAATGTTAAAAATGAAGAAAAATAAATATTATAATTGGACTAAACACCATTTCATCAATTAAAATATTAATAAACAATTAAACAGGTACCCACTTACATTATTAACAAATCACACCTCGATTTATAATTTTCATTTTAAAATTAACAACATCTTTAAAAATGAAAGGGAAAGAAAAAAGAAAATAAACAACTATAAATAAATTCCTCTGTTAACTGAAGAAAATCCAGGTACTTCTCAAAAATATAAAATTAAAATACAATTTCAAAACAAAATAACAAAAAAGAAAAAAAATCTTTGCTTAATCACCCTTCAATAAACAAAATTGTGATACAGTCTTTTTTAAATGGCTTAACTGCGCCATTATTTTTTAACACTGCTGAAATTTTTTCAACTCCAAAAATTGATGATTCCACACTCCAGACTTATTTAAACCTAAATATTTACAAAAATGAAATTAAAATTGTGACAAAATTTATTTAAAGGGGCTAATTTTTATAATAGTAATATACCTATCCTTAAAGAATGGTAAGAAACAAATTGTTAAGCTAACAAGAGTTATATATCACTGTATTCTTAAAAGAAGGGAAGCAAAAATAAAATACTAATTACAGTTAAATAATTTAATTACGATCTAAAATAAAAATTGATGAATAAAGGGTCCTACAAAGTCAGAGATGGTAGATTGATTGAAAAAAAAAAAAAAAAAATACATAAGAAAAATAAATCACTAACAACGGAAATTTTGGACATATGAAATCCAAGTAAATTAAAATAGCCCCAACAAAAATCCGCAAATATTGGACAACCAGTAGGCTAAGCAGGCTAACATGTGTGCAAAACACAGGTTGCCTGGCAACCAGATGAATCGCAGATGAGATAAAATAATTATGAGTTCATGTCCCAGTGCCGGAAGAGCTTTTAACTCTGGTATTAATCCCCTACTCTCTCTCCTGGCCCACAAAAAAACCTACATTGCCAACAGGCAAGAAAGGGGAAGAAAAAAAAATGTGTATGATTCCGCAAGACAAAAGTTATTAAACTTTTACAATAAAAATTTTACTTTTTCTTTATAATAATGGTGCAATATAATACATTTGTTGTTAATTCATCTAAATAAATCAATAAAAAAGTTGTTTACGATTTTTTCTTTTTAAATACTTAAGAAATGTAAGTATCGTACCTTGAACATTACTTAAAAATAGGGCAATTTTGAAAATAAGCTTATTTTCATACCACTTTTTTTTTTTAATATAAAGGTTTATTGTTAAAAAAATTATTGTACCATGGGATTTATTCATGAGATGTTTTTACATAGGAATTAATTTCCCAAAAAAATTTATTAGGGTTCACTTTGGAAATAAGGGACTCGGTTAAAATGCATATCATAGTTCAATAGTTAATGCAAGTACAGTTTGTGGCAAACTTTTGTGCAAATAAGAAACTTCGTTTTAGAACATAATGAACAAATAGGTAGGGAATCAGTTTTCTGTCCAGAAAATACAGTATCCATGTAGTTCCGAATGATAATGGAGAGACTGATCAATTTTTCTGCAACTAATGACCTTGTGATAGCAGGTACCTCTGACAAAAGGACACCCGTTTTGATTTAGAATGCAAACTGGCTACAGGCGAGAACAACGATGCATACAACATGATGAATCAGAGGAGGCACACCAGAACATCTGTTTAGTAAGAGTATAGAAACAAAAAAAGGCAGTAAAAATAATGTTTCAGAGAAAGAAAAGAATAAGAGGAAATAGAGATGTTTCAGACTAGAGGAATATCCCTCCTACCCTCTTCTTATAAGGTACTTTTTTCAATACCCTTTTTCAACACTTAGGTATGTTGAAGAGAAAATAGGCCAATATCAAGCAGGTTTTATAAAAGGTAAAGTTACGATGGACCAAATGTTTTCGGTGAGAAAGATGATGGAGAGAACAGCTGAATACAATATTCATACCCACCATCTCCTCTTTGAGAATTTTCAACACTAAAATAGGCAGTATGACTCTCGATATCCCTCTAAAGTTAGTCCACCTAGTCAGAATGACTGTGAAGGTGACCTAGTACTCAGTGAGAGTGTTCGGAGACACATCTGAGTTTTTCCAAAGCCACGAGGAACTTAGACAAGGTGATTGTTTAGCAAGCCAACTGTTTAATATTTCATCGGAATATGCTATCAATGAGTCAGAAATCTGAAATTTTTAACAAATCATTCCAAATTCTAGCCTAAGCCGATCTGGATATCGTTGGATGCAGTTTACTGAGTATGGAGAGCACCTTTCTAAATCTACAAAAAACAGGCACAAAGTTGGATTGCAGAACAATTCCAAAACAAAGTTCTCTTCAATTCTAAAAAAAGAATATTATCCAGCCCCCAAACCACTATAAGTGTTTTTTTTTCTTCTTACATTTGGCACAATAGACCATGTAGATCTTTGGGCGCAGGAGGGGGTCCCTTAAAAACATACCTTGCTTATGAAAGCACAAAGGGGGTTACCCGTCTCACATTGCTACGGACCATGGTCTTCATGCTGCAGCGGTAGGACATCCATAACTCCATAGCCATTCCCTTTGGGACCAATCCGACAGTGTTCTTTTCACCAACTGGTCGGTTTAGGGTTTAGGGCTATATTTCTTTCCCTGAAACAGATCGTTCTTGGACCAAATCTCAAGAGGGCTACTGACATCCTACGTCCAGTCAGTGTGAGTAGCCTCCAATAGGCTGATGAATCTCAAATACCCGGGGAGAAGAAATCTCATGCAGCATGGTTTTCTCTGGTGGACTGTCACCCATACCGAGCAGTCACTCATCGAATTATCTAACAGGCTTAACTTTGATTACCTATTGCAAGTGCCTTATCCTGCTCGGCTATCCCGACCTCTATAAAGTGGATACTCTTAATTAAATATTTAATTAAGAGAACAACCATTAACCAACTTGACTAATCGTTAACCAAAAGATAGAACTTGGAGTGAAGAGGATTAGCAGGAAAATATTGGGCTATTGCTTATCTCTAATACTTCAACAGCAAACTCAATAAGATGTTATTTCTCTAATTATAGTGAGTACACAGTTATTATAGTGTGAACGCTTAGAAATCCTGGAGTCTTGATTCCTCTTGGGGATCAAAATATCAACATTTAACTATACTTGTACTGACAATGTTGGGAGGAGCAATCTAACAAGTGGTCCCATTTAGTTATATCAATATATTTAATAGCATATTGATGGGGGTGCTAAGACCTAAATTTTAGAAAATTGTATTTTTGTACCATCCAGCTCTGATAGATGAGATCTATCTATAGGTAAAATGTAATCTTCAAACAGTGTTAATTTAATAGACCTCAAAAATATAAACTTTTCATTATTATTAGTTATTATTCATATAATTTTCTTTTATTTCAGTGTCATATATTATTTCATTATCCAAAGCTAATATTGAAGGATCTTCAACATGTTATTAAACTGTGTTGGGTAAATTCTCATCTTCATCTAGCCATCATTATGATTTAATCTTTCAATATTTGTGTATAATTTGTAAGTAATATCAGATGTTTGAGGAAAAACAAAACAAGTTTCATGAATTTGTTCACGGGCTGCCGGTTAATCGTGGGCGAACGACAGACAATGCTTCATACAATAAGAAAAAAATTGAACAATAAGAGAGATACAAGAAATTTATAAGTATTTTGAAGGTACAAATCACAGAATCTATGAAATTTCATTGATGAGGGGGACAAACTTTCAGATGACTTGGGAATAAAGTTTATTTCAGGTTCAGGCCAATGGCGAGTCACAGATTTTGAAATAAAGTTGTAGAAGTAGGCAGTGGATTGCAATAATAAAATGACTACAGATGGATTAATTTCAGTCCAATCATTCATTATCTTACAGCACTAATTTAGCTGATAAGTTCTTCTTGGGCCTACAATTACTAAAAATAATGTTCACTACAAATTCTTTCTTCATTGAGCTTTTAAATTAAAAAAAATGTCAAAAATTATTATTCAGGATAAATGAAATCCCATTCACCCTCATCCCCTCCCCAGATGATAGAGGTAAGAATGAAATCGTACTGCTCCCCTACCCCTCCCTCAATATTATTGAAGTATTTAATTTTATTAGAGGTTATTTAAGGCATCATTTTTACACCAATACATTGGGAACTTGGTGATTGTTTCTAATATTAAATACTTAAATAAATTAAATTTTCTCTACATACTACTTCTTAAAACTACAAAACTAATATATTGCACTATAATAACTTTTTTTATTTATGGTTACTTTCATTTCTTTATTTTAAATTAAAATGGATATAATGTAAAGAATACAGTGATACATAACTATTGTAACAACAGCATTAGATTGTAATGACAACCCAACCTGATACAACTTATAATCGAGTAGTAACTTTAAAATATCCATTATTTACAGATATTACTAAATTAGGAATAAATATATACATAAACTAATCAAATAAATTAGTAAATAGCAAAAACAAATATAATGAAATCAATATGAAAGTGTAATGGCATTTATAAATTAAAATAAAACAGCATAGAATCTAAAATTACTAGACATAATTAATTTCACACTATGAAATCATGGCAGAACCCCTCTGTATTGAACTTTCACATTTAGAAATATGAGTCATTGTGCATTCAATTTCGTCTAATAACCTTGAATTTATAGTTTTTAGCAGAGAGTGAAGGTAGCTCAGAAAGTAAGCAGCTCCTATATTTTAAACCAGGGTTCGATCCTGGTTGTAGCCCAAAATTATTTATTCCGTTAATTAGTCGTGAACTGACCATGGGTTCCACATGGAGCATACCCTCAACTATATATTTGGGTCACCTTAAGTGGGGAGAAAACCTGGAGACTGAGTATGATTTAAGCAAAATAACCTCTTTGCACAATAGTTAGCCTAAATGCAATATTTTATTAAAAAGTAATGTACCCAAGACTGTTAACGTGTAGTGATAGAACAGATTTTTAATTTTTTTTCTTCTTACTATTCAGGAGACACACTCAATAAAATATCAAACAGAAAATACTACATTGTTAATCATAATAAAAAAAAAATTTTGCTGAGCCTGTCGGAAATGCAGATCAAAGCACTTTTATGAAGTATGTCATAATAAAAAAGTATATACACCACAACAAATAAACTGAGAAGAGAAGGAATTCTTTTTTTTTTTTTTTTTCCGTCTTGTGACTTTCCGACTTCTGCCATAAGTCTTTTAGCAGCGTTGGGGCTGTTACAGGTGATAGCTGTGATCATTTGGTTCTCAGGACGATATCCAGAGAGCACGTGGCTTACAAAAACCGGACACGATCACAATCACTCTCTCTTCATCAGGGACTTTTCTAAAGGATGATTGGCAACGTTTTGCAGAATCTCCATCCGGTTTTTTATGGAATAGGATTA